AATGCACACACATATATATATATATATATATGCATGTATATTGATGTGTGTATTAGTAACATATAATTATGCCTATAGTATTTACACATATAGTAATATACATTTATATATGCATAATACACACATAAATGTCATTAATATATATATATATATATATATATATATATATATATATATATATATATATATGTATAATGAGCACGTATTGGCCCTGTCTTGTTCCTAGTTGCATACTCATGCACAATAACACATTCAAAGTGAAGAGCACACCCATAGAACTTCAAAATTAACCAGATCACTTCATTTTTTTAGTTGTGCAACTGCAGACATTCAGCATTTCAGTACCATTACTAAAACGTCCTTAATAGGCCAAAGTAGTTGTACTGAAACATTGATTACATGCAAATGTACGTCTACTTAAAATAAAGGTGCTCTTTTGTTTATTTTGAAGCCCTATATGCGTTCCTTCGTTGGAGTAAGAGTTTTCAATTTCAAGTTATTTTTTTCACCATGTTTATCAGCACACTATGCTGGCGCAACGCATTATTGGGCTGGTATATAATTTTTTTCCAGGGCTGATTTTAGTTCCCAGTCCGGCCCTGCACCACACACACAAACACATACACTGCCTCCCTCAATGCAGTATGTGTGTATTCAGCAGTCTGTGTGTGTGTGTGTGTGTGTGTGTGTGTGTGTGTTAATGTGTGTACAGCAGTCTGTGTGTGTGTACTCAGCAGTGTATGTGTATTCAGCAGTGTATGTGTATTCAGCGGACTGTGTGCAAGTGTATTTAGCAGTCTGTGTGTGTGTATTCAGCAGTCTGTGTGTGTGTACTCAGCAGTCTGTCTGTATGTGTATTCAGCAATCTGTCTGTATGTGTATTCAGCAATCTGTCTGTATGTGTATTCAGCAGTCTGTATGCGTATTCAGCAGTCTGTGTGTGTATGTATTGCATTTGTTGGAGATACTAATAAATATAAGCTTAAATTGATCTATTTATATCCTTATATAAAATTTGTATCATTGAACTCTCTGTCTTTTAAAACAAAAGTTGTTAATTAGTTCGGACAACTGTACGAGTTGTTTTTTCTAAATTTAAACATCAGTATTCAGGTTTAATGGCACTTTGAGGAAACAAAAGTTAGCATGTATTGCGGTTTGGGCACTCGGGCTCAAAAAGGTTTGCCATCACTGCTCTAGGGGGACACAGTGCATTATGATTAAAATAGAGGAACTGCAGCATTTGCTTGTAACGATCCCTCTTCATAACCTCTGGGAAAACAGAAAACGTTTTCATGTGTGAGACAATTTGTTTTACTGTAATATGACCCCAGATTTGGGGGGATTAATTTAAGTTTGATTTGCTCAACCATCAGCTCCAATATGTCATCCAACATAAAGAGCTAAAGTAGTTCACTAACTCACAAATACCTACTACTACTGTGATGTCTGGTTTAGTGTAGTGTGAATGAGGGTTTTTCTGGCTCAGTCAGCTTTGGGAGTATCTAGTACCTAGTTTTACTCTGGCACTGTGAGGAGTCCTAATCACCTTCTTGTAGATCGTGGTGGGTCTGGAGGACTCACTTAGAGGCTCAATGTCAGAGGCTGTGATAGTGTCACTGTTTACCAGAGCATCACTATCAGTGCCTGCCATATAATAGCGTGCAATTTTAGGGGGATTAATTCAATTAATATAACTAAAGGGATAAAAAAAAAATCCTGCCTGCCCAACACACAATGCCCAAACCCACCCCCCAATTCCCAATTTCATCCACCAAAAACCCACCAAAACCAAAAATGTAAATAAAATTGTTGAACACAGATCAAACAGCTACGGACAGTACTAAATGGGTTATAGGCTTATTTTTTTTATAGAAATAACCCCCCAAAAATGTTAGTGATGATCAGAGAGCCCTCAGTACAGGAGAAGGATCAGGTAGCAGGGAAGGGGTTACTGCAGCTGACAAAAAATATGAATAGTATCAAGGTAATAATCACTCTAGTCAGATTGATCATAGGTACAGCTTGTGATTAGCACTGAATGGGTTAAAAAAATGTATAATGTATAAGGGTTAAAAACATTTTTTTTAAATGTATAATATATATATATAATATATATATATATATATATATATATATATATATAGATTTATTTTTTAATTTTAGAACACTTTCTAAAATATTTACACTTTTAGCGCAGTTTAGCAATGATCTCTCTGCCTCTCTGTTTTCACATCAAAGTAAGAGAAGAGAGGGAAAGAGACAATGTCTCAGCCAATGTTACAATCAGGGGGCAGCTAGACCCCCACATGGTAATCGGCATAATGGGTAGGAAGGCAGACCTGTCTGTCCCCAGGTTGCCCATCCCACACAGGACCAATACGGACAATAATTGTAGTCTTTATTTAGGCAGTTTGGATCTATATACTTATGCTTATTACTAGGACAAATATACTTATCATTAGACCCATACGTTCTTTCCCATTTAAGACCACCACATACATTCCATGGCTTCCTACTACCTGATATCGCCTTACATGCATCAAATAGCAATACACCTGGAGAATGTACGCTTTCTAGTACAGTCTTATTTATCAGGTTCCCCTGTGCGTTCTCATTCCGAATAGTCAACCAAATTGTACGGGGCTGATACTCAGGATTAAAACACCTAGGTTCTCCTGCTCCTATATGACATACACTATAATCTGTACCTAGGTATCTACACTTTGATACGTGTCCTGTGCACTCATATTGCGAATGCCAAATAAGGGTCTGGGAAATACGATTGCCTGTTTTCGTAGTCTTAATGCAAACCTCGCAGCCTGGTGTGTCGGTACCTCTACCTTCCTGAAAAGTTAAATACACACATATATACATCATCAAACACATTACTCCTGACATCTTCTTCCTAATTCTTCGACCGTGCGACGGCACCTCAGCTTCCAGGCGCCAGGGCATGCTATACCACCTTCATGGCATTTAAGTCCGTCCACTGCAAGACAGCATAGCAACCTCTAAAGGTGTAAACGGATTAATGGAATGTTGCATTACATATACGTATGCTTTATTAGGTGTTTACTCTATCTGTCATTTAAAAAACAATGTATAATATTTTGAGTGCACTTAAATAAGAACAGTGGCCAAACAGCTTCTGTTACTAACGTAGGGAAACTGTGAAAAAAAACTCAGTTACTAAGAAGTTAATAAGAAAATCTAGTGTTCCAGCACCAAAACAATCTAATATCAATCACGTATGTTTTTCTATGATGCTGGCTGAAAGGTAAAACTGCTTTTAAGATGTTATTTGATCCATCCTTTTCAGCTTGACTTAAAAGGGAATTACACCTTTCAAAAGGAAACTGCGTTTTTATAAAGTGATACCATCATATATTCCTGTTTAAAAATAATGTTATTTTTTTATGAACTACAGCATTTATGTAGCCATTCTCTTATGTCTGTCTACTAGTCAAAACAAAAAGGTCCTTATCTAATAAACAACAGATTTCTAGAGTCTGAATCTCAGAAAAATTGCCTACAACTAAAGCATGATGACATATGCAAGGAGTGTCATTCAAATTCCACTTTGACGGGGGTTCATTACCTTAAAATATTTTTGAAATCCTATACAATACATACAATATAGATACATTTTCATCCATCTGTGATAAGTATTGAGCTCTTGCAGCATTGCATACTAGACAACATTGGCAGGTATAAAAAAAAAAGGCTGACGAAACCATGCCAGTTTGACACTGAAAATGCCCACAGCCCTAAAAGGCATGTGGTATGCACTCCAATATGAGAGACAGCAGTGCAGGACAGGACATCAAGAGCAATCTCAGTAACAGAACTCTAGAAGAAAAAATGCAGGATGGCTGGGCTGGTGGCCAGCTTTGAGAATGCCCAAGCACGTTCAGATTAGTTCACCAGTCTGCCTTTTCTCCCAAATAATACCTGTAAGAGGAAAATGGGGTGACCAGTTTCCAACCTGGGAATAAACTTTCTGCTTTGTCTGCCATCCCTTCTCCATTCCTAGGGACCACTAGCACCTTCTAGGCAGGTATCAATCCCTCTCAAGTGCCTGTCCCTTCCTTCCGGGCAGATATCAACTCATGGGATATCAAACCCAATCCCTCCCTAAGAATATATGATGTATTCTTTTCTTAAATGCTGTAGTGCAAAAACCTCCAACGGGATACAAAGGTAAGGATGGTAAACACCCTTTGCAATACAGCACTTTAAGAAAAGAAGACATCATATATCCTTATGCAGGGATTATACCGCTCAAGCGCATCAAGATAGAGCTATGCTAGCGCTACAAACTGTAAGTACAATTCCATTATTTATATTTTCACCTTAAAACAATATATACTACACCATATTTTGCTGCAATTTTCTGTCTCCACATATTCCACTATCACTGAGAACACCTCCACCTGGAGGCAACTTTGGGGTTAAATTGTTCAAGAATGGTTTAACCTGTAAAGGTAAGAATGTGCTGGGGGCCTCCTGGCAACCATAACAACTTAATATAGGTGAAGTTGTTTTGGTGCCTCAGGGGGACTAAACTGTCCCTTTAACTCTGTGGAGCACAAACCAATGTGGACAACAAAAAGTTAACATTGTGTGGGAGTTGTGCAATTTACAAAAGAACACTGTATTTGATGTGGCAGGACTGAAAGCATTAATTGTGTGCTCATTTTACAATTTAAATATAATTCTCCATCTCATGGTTCTCTGACTGGGTAAACCTGATCAGCATGGCTAACTGTAAGTGTACTGTATATTTACACTGCCTGTTCAATAAACCAGTCACTACTACAGTCTTGTCTAGTATTTGGGTACAAGGTTGGAAGGAAGAACTATTTACCACTTTATCCAGTATTTGGCCAGTAGTTGGGTGACATTGGTGGGGAAGCTCAGACTGCTAGTGTTACCGGGAAACTGACGGAGGCCAAGCACAGAGAGATGGACACAGGTTTCTTCAGGAAGGAAGAGATCTTTATTCGATTCACCGACCGGGACTCAGAGGGACTTATGTCACCAAAAACAGCAAAGATCTGAGTACTGAATACATAGAGTACATTCCTTATATAGCACTGTAGCTTCTCCCATAATTAGCTTCGCCCACACATATCCTTAACCTAATCTATGAATAGAGTCTAAACTCATCCATCCGGTCTTACCACGTGGCTCATCTGAAACAAAGGAGAGGGACGCGTAATTACAGTTCCTACATTCCTGCACATGCTCAGTACAGTGATGACAGTATCTTAGCTACGTGTAACTAACTAACTGATACTACAAACACATGTACCTACATATGCCTTGTGGCAATCTTGGCCTGCTAAACTTGTATTTTACTGGAATTCCATCACATTCCCCCCTTTGATGCTTCTGATTTAAAATAATTCCAGATGCATTACCAATCATAGTTTGCTTACACCTCAAGTTGCCATAAACCAGACTAGACTTTGCGATCCTCTAAAGATACGAACCCCTCAACATTCCTCTTCCTGACTTGCATGTATTCTCCTTGATCTAGAACTTCATACCTGCAAACAGCCATTACCTGTGCTGCGGCCTTTCTTTCTGCTATACTTTCTATAATGCTCTGCATAGACCTAATTACCAAAGGAATCAGACATGGCAGAAGGAGACACAACATCAAAATCAGTATGACTCCACCTACCAATGCCTTGATTCCTCCAAACTGCTCATACCAACTACCAAACCAACTACTCGGATTATACCCTTTCCATACCTGAGTAGGTACATGTGCTAGCTTAACCATATGGCTAGTAAGCTCAGCTATTGCTTGCCCTTCATCATCTATTTGAAGACAACAATTGCTTAGATTAAACTTCTCACATACACCTCCCTCTACTGCCAATAGGTAATCCAAAGCTAATCTATTCTGGTAGATGGCTGTCCTCATCCTAGTGTTATGCTTCGCTAGGAGATTGAGCGCTTGTGATGTTTCATTGGTAACTATCTCAACTACTGCTTGCAATCTTATAATACGATTAAGCATATATATTGGGGTTCTGTATCCATAAGTACCATCCTCTGCCCATGTAGCTGGCCCATAATAATCTATAATACGCTGGGGAGGCCACACATCATCTTCCCAGGTACCTATCTCTAGGGGTGCCCTTTTCTTCCTATGATTTACATCATATATTTTAACTCCTAAAGTCTCTCCTGTTTCAATTGGCAACAAGAAGAAGGATGGTTTGAGCATACCCAATACACATGCCCCTTCCCAGTCCTGTGGTAACTCCGAATATGCTTTCTTACCACAAATCCAGTACAAATTTGCTGGGGCTTTCCAACTAGATGTAGCAGATAGGTCAAACCATACATCCTTTAAATTGGTATAATTTGCAAACGGATTAGACGGTTCTGAGACATTTGAAGCTGACCACCAAATAGTATCCTTTGTATCGTCATTATAGGCTTTCTGCCCTAAACAAGTCAATTCTCCTACAGATGTATTAAACATTATTCCTTTCCTTGCTATACAAACATAACCTATAATGGAGGTCTTTAATCGCCACTCAGATTTACCTCTAACACTCACTTGATAATCAGATTGAGAAGATATTAGTTGTTCAACTGTCTCAGAACCAGAATACATTACCTCCTTTGCTTTCCAAGGCCATTGGTCTCCCATATTAGTACCTCCACACACATAGCAGTTGGTTACATTAAGACTACCAGCAATGCTCTCAGCTAGGTCTATGAATAAGTTTTTGGCATTATGGGGAACCTTATCTTCCACACTCATCTCCTCATAAAAAGAATGGAAAACCTGATGAGTCTGGGGGGCCACTGTATCTGTCTCTATTCCTATGTATAATATCGTCCCAGGATCCAAACCTGTTCCATATATTTGGAACCCAAATAGATTCCCAAACTTATCTATAAATAGCTCTGGGTCCTTGATAAGTATATGGACTGGGTTACACTCCATAGACTTACAATATGGCTTGGTAGGCAATCTAGTGATAATCATATCCTCATCTACTGTCTGTCCCCAGGTTGCCCATCCCACACAGCACCAATACGGACAATAATTGTAGTCTTTATTTAGGCAGTTTGGATCTATATACTTATGCTTATTACTAGGACAAATATACTTATCATTAGACCCATACGTTCTTTCCCATTTAAGACCACCACATACATTCCATGGCTTCCTACTACCTGATATCGCCTTACATGCATCAAATAGCAATACACCTGGAGAATGTACGCTTTCTAGTACAGTCTTATTTATCAGGTTCCCCTGTGCGTTCTCATTCCGAATAGTCAACCAAATTGTACGGGGCTGATACTCAGGATTAAAACACCTAGGTTCTCCTGCTCCTATATGGCATACACTATAATCTGTACCTAGGTATCTACACTTTGATACATGTCCTGTGCACTCATATTGCGAATGCCAAATAAGGGTCTGGGAAATACGATTGCCTGTTTTCGTAGTCTTAATGCAAACCTCGCAGCCTGGTGTGTCGGTACCTCTACCTTCCTGAAAAGTTAAATACACACATATATACATCATCAAACACATTACTCCTGACATCTTCTTCCTAATTCTTCGACCGTGCGACGGCACCTCAGCTTCCAGGCATGTGAGGGCTGCAGGGAATGGAGTCCTTCTGATCCTCACTGTTCTTCACAGAGGATTCCTCTGGCTTAAACGTTGGTAGGTGGTCAGGCTTTATTGTGGCCGTCAAAACACCTACTTGTAGATCTTTGTAGATGTTCCCTTGTAACAATACTCTTCGCAAAAACCACTTTTAATCTAACTGGGTCACTCGCTTTAACCGGATCTTGCAGGGATTCTCAGGATCTTGAGTAGCTTGCCAAGAATCTGCTGCTGGTTTAACCCTGGAGTGATGAATACACGGAGTCACCTCTGCCACCTTTATAGCTGTTGGAGTAGACAAAAGAACAGCATAAGGACCCCTCCATTTTGGCCCCAACAGTACACTGTTCCACTCCTGGATGGTAAGAATGGACAGGTGGATAAATATTTACAGGTAACCTATCTTGTACCCATTTCTGTACCTCCTCCATAGTTTTGCCCAACTCTACAACCTGCCGCCGGGTAATTCCTTCTCCCAACTGACTCAAGTCCCCCCTTAAGTTACTAAGTATGGGAGGTGGACACCCATACATAATTTCAAAGGGTGATAGACCTAACTTTCTGGTAGGTGTACTACGAATGCGCAACAGAGCTATTGGCAAAAGAACATTCCACTTAAGTTGGGTTTCTTGACACATTTTTGCCAACTGGGTCTTAATGGTTCTGTTCATCCTTTCCACTTTCCCAGAACTCTGAGGCCTATATGCTGTATGAAGTTTCCACTTAATACCAAGCATATGAGTCAGTTGTTGTAGGCACTGATGGACAAAAGCTGGACCATTATCTGATCCTATAGAACACGGTAGTCCATATCGGGGTATTATTTCTCGCAACAGAAATCGCACAACTTCTCCTGCTTTCTCTGTACGAGTTGGACACGCCTCTACCCATCCTGAGTAGGTACACACAGCTACTAGTAGGTAACGATGTCCGCCGGATTTGGGCATTATCGTGTAGTCTATTTGGAGATCGGACATAGGAAGCCCTCCCATGTACTGGACTCCCGGTGGTTTCACTGGACCTTGCCTTGCGTTGTTCTTGGCACATGACACGCATCTTCGAACAATGGCTTGAGTCAAGTTGGACAATCTTGGTATGTAGAAATGCTTCCTAAGAGATTCTTCCATACTATCTCTTCCAGAATGTGTCCCATTATGATAATTCTGGACAATTTCTACAGCTAGCGATGTTGGAATAACTATTCTTCCATCCTCTAACTGATACCAATTATTCTCCAAATATTTCCCAGCTTCAGTCTTTAACCACTCTACTTCTTGAGCTGTATAAACTGGAGTCCACTGGGACAGAGGGGTCGGTATAAGAGCTGCTACACACTCCACATATTCTTTTTGTCTGGGTTCAGTGGCATGCTTAGCTGCACTATCTGCCATCCGATTTCCTTTCACCACATCACCATCACCTTTCAGATGTGCTCGACAATGTATGATACCAACTTCCTTCGGCTCCCATACAGCTTCCAATAGTTGTAATATCTCAGCTGCGTACTTGATTTATTTTCCTTCTGAGGTCAGTAATCCTCTTTCTTTATACAAAGCTCCATGGGCATGAGTGGTTAAAAACGCGTACTTTGAGTCTGTGTAGATATTTACTTTCAACCCTTCAGCCAATTGCAAAGCCCGTGTAAGTGCGATTAATTCTGCCTTCTGTGCTGATGTTCCTTTTGACAATGGCCGCGCTTCTATCACCTTGTCTATAGTTGTCACTGCATATCCTGCATAGCGAATCCCTTCTTTCACGTAACTACTGCCGTCCGTGTAATACTGAACATCGGGGTTCTGGATGGGAAAATCATGAAGGTCCGGTCTACTTGAGAACACTTCATCCATTACCTCCAGGCAATCATGTCGACTCTCAGTAGGTTGCGACAAGAGGGTAGCTGGGTTCAAGGTATTTACAGTCTCAAGATGCACTCTCGGGTTCTCGCATAACATGGCTTGATACTTAGTCATGCGGCTATTGCTAAACCAATGATTACCTTTATAGTCTAGCAACGTCTGTACTGCGTGCGGGACTCACACATAGAGTTCCTGACCCAGAGTGAGCTTCTGCTACCAACAGGGCGGTGGCAGCTACGGCCCTTAGACAAGGAGGAAGACCACTGGCTACTCACACATAGAGTTCCTGACCCAGAGTGAGCTGGTCAGCTTCTGCTACCAACAGGGCGGTGGCAGCTACGGCCCTTAGACAAGGAGGAAGACCACTGGCTACTGCATCCAGCTGTTTGGACATATAGGAAGGTCGTTGCCATGATCCCAGATACTGTGTCAGTACTCCCACAGCCATCCTTCTTTGCTCGTGTACATATAAGTAGAATGGACGTGTATGATCAGGTAGACCTAATGCGGGGGCGCTCATCAATGCCTTCTTAACATCCTCAAATGCCTTCTGCTGTTCGATGGTCCACAGGAAGGAATCATGTTCCGTGCCTTTAATAGCGGCATAGAGGGGTTTCGCCAGTATCGCATAACTGGGAATCCATATCCTACAGAAGCCTGCTGCCCCTAAGAATTCTCGCACTTGTCTTCTATTCTTAGGTGTTGGTATTTGGCATACAGCCTCTTTTCTTTCAGACCCCATTATCCTTTGACCTTCAGAGATATGGAATCCCAGATACTTGACAGTTGGCTGACACAACTGAGCTTTCTTCCTGGACACCTTGTATCCTGCCTTCCAAAGAATGTGCAGTAAATCATAAGTTGCTTGCTGGCATATCTCTTTATCAACAAATCATCCACGTATTGTAGTAGTACACATTCTCCTGGGATGGACTTGAAATCTAATAAGTCCTGACTTAATGCTGATCCAAATAGGGTAGGTGAATTTTTAAACCCTTGGGGCAATCTTGTCCAGGTCATCTGACGTTTCGAGCCCGTTACAGCATCTTCCCATTGTAATGCAAAGATACACTGGCTTTCTGTAGCAATTCGTAGGCAAAAGAAGGCATCTTTAAGGTCCAAGACTATAAAGTAAGTAGCCCCACCTGGAATCAAGGCAAGCAGGTTATAAGGATTGGGCACAACTGGATGTATACTTACTACCGCATCATTGACTGCTCTCAAATCCTGCACAGGACGATACTCATCTGACCCAGGCTTCTGAACAGGCAACAATGGAATATTCCAGGGGGAAGTACAGAATTTTAGGATACCATACCTTATGAAATTATCCAAATAAGACTGTATGTTCTTCTTCGCCTTTTGAGGTATATGGTATTGTCGCAGGCTTACTGGATAAACCCCAAGCTTTAGTTCGATGCGTATAGGTGGGATATTGCGAGCAAGTCCTGGTGGGTTATTTTCTGCCCACACTCCTGGTATATTATACAAGGATTCATCACTCTTAGGGTTTTGACTTGTCATCACTGTATAAAGTCGCCACTCTTCCTCCTTTGGTACTGATAGTGTCATTATACCTGAGGGTCCATTAAACTTCAAGGATGTCGTTCCGTTAGGCAGAAATGTTATCTGTGCTTGTAACTTCGACAACAAATCCCGTCCTAGAAGTTGGACTGGACATTCAGGCATATAAAGGAACTGATGTTTCACTACGTGGCCTCCCAGTGTACAGAGTCGACTTTTGAGAACCGGTTTACCAGCACTACTCCCAGTTGCTCCGATTACAGTGATAGTTCTTCCTGAAGGAGGAGCAACTAGGTCGGTTACCACAGAATGTTCAGCACCAGTGTCGATCATGAAAGAACTCCTTTTTCCCCTATTGCTACATCGACCATAGGCTCCGCTCGACCAAGGGGGATGGAGACCGGTCGGTATCAATAGTCCTCCATGACAGTGTCAGCCAAACCCACAAAGTCCCTATCTTCTCTTTCTCGCGGTCTCTGCGCTGCTGGGTAATACCTATCCCCTTGAACGCTTCCTCTACTATTCCCACCATTTCCTCCAGGGCCTCCTCTTCCTCTCACTCTACCTCTATAGTTATTACTATATCCTCCCCTTGTTCTATCTCTCTCATGTTGTTCCCTCAATGGACACTCACTCCTCCAATGCCCTTCTTCCCTACATCACATTTCTGCAATACCTCAGCCGTCTTTGACATATTGATCGCCTTTTTCCCTCCGGCTTTCATGCCAGTAATAATGGCTTCCCTATAAGCTTTTAGGTGAGCCATATCAGCACCATTAACATTCCAATTCGGATCTACGTTTGGGTAATGAGCTGCGGCCCATGCTACCGGGTTGGCCTGATTCTGTGCACGGGCCACTTCTTCAAGCGCTTTAATTGCCGCCTGATTAATCCGAGTCCTTTCCTCGTTATTAAACAATGTCATAAGCCCAAGTGGGATTGTGCGTTTGGATTATGGAGGTAATCAAATCTGTCATGGCTTGAGGTTTGTCTGTGTAAGAGGAGTTATGGGTTTTCCAGTTGAACAAATCCGTAGTGGTAAAGGGAACATAAACAAATACGGGGTCGGCATGTTGTAACTGGCCTTCACCATTAATGTGTGTCGGGCCCGGTGTCAATCGGAGAGGCATTTGATAATGTCGGGGTTGGAGGGTACCGGTCAATTGTCGGGTTAGTATGGGGCTTCGTTGAGGAAGGTCAGTTATGGGTTCCGGTCGTGGGGTAGTAAGACGAGGGGAGGGGGACGCTTTTTCTTTACTGAAGGGGAGCTTGGTAAGCAGACTATTCAAGGCCGGGCTGGGAGGAGCCTGACCAGGAACCAGAAATGACGTCAAATCTGGATAGGTGGAGTTAGTGGGGGTAGGTACCGGAAGGGGAGGGTTTAGAACAAGTGGGCTAGGCTCTGAGCTAGAGGATGGGGTAGGAGGAGACAATGGGGCAAGGGGAGTGGCATTACTAGCCGCACCTCCTCTTCCTCTTCCTGTAGAGGAGGAGTAAGGGGGCGGTAAAGGAATCTCTGACTCAGGGGACGTGTCCAGAATGGGCGTGATCACGGCCTTGGTGGACAAACGAGTTCTGGCCAACAGGAGGCAGCATTGCTCCTCTTGGCACACCCTGATCCATTTTGGCAAGTCATCCACGGCCTGTTTCCAACAATCAATATATGGAAACTGGTCGTAAAGTTCCGGCCTACCAGATACAGCTACATGTACACAGGGCCAGATTAAAAGCCCTGTAGGCCTGGTGCTGACAATTATGACGGGCCTAATTACAGAATCATATCAACCAAAAACAGTAAAACACTCCCAAGCGTCATGTATCTGATGGAGATGGTGCTGGAGAGAAAGTAAACAGCAGCTATAAGAAAACACATACCTTAGGCTAATCTCTCACTAATTTATGTTTTCATCTTTCAAGTAAATCCATAACCCCTAACAGCAGTGTCCAGTCAAGCAGGAAGTCAATGGGCACGGTAAAAGGGTGTGCCACTGACACAAATCACGTAACCTGCCAAAAGGGGCGAACATGCCCAAAAAGAGGATATGTCTGCCCAAAGAATTAGAAGGCCAGCCTGGTATGAATGCATGTCAGGCTGCCTGCCAATCATGCAGCTGGCCAACTAAGGGCATACTATGCAGACAGCACCCTGAGCTTGGCATAAATGCATCTAATGATGCGCTCGCTCAACGCTTTCTAAGGACTGTCCCCTAGCACTCGCTGGTCCACTTGTCTCCTTACCTTCTTACTAGCAGGCAGAAGCTCCTGGTATATAGTCTGGGACAGAGAAAAGCTGTATGTAGTGAGTGTAGAAGAAAGGGAACATGCCACAGTGTTAGAGAGACCAAAGTCAGCATTACCTTAAAGGATCACTATAGGGTCAGGAACACAAACATGAATCCATGACCCTATAGTGTTAACTCCACCATCTAGCCCCCCTGGGTCCCTTCATGCCTCCATAAATATAGCAAAATCTTACTGCATTCAAGCCTGAAGCTGTAACTCTGCATGCTGTTAGACTCAGAAAAACAAGCAGTCTGTTGACATCATTAGAAGTGGTGGCCTAATCCAATCACAGTGCTTCCCCATAGGATTGGCTGAGACTGACAAGGAGGTAGATCAGGGGCAGAGCCAGCATGATTCAAACACAGCCCTGGCCAATCAGCATCTCCTCATAGAGATGAATTGAATCAATGAATCTCTATGAGGAAAGTTCAGTGTCTGCATGCAGAGGGAGGAGACACTGAATGTTTGGATGCATTTTAGGCAGCCATGACCCAGGAAGGATCTCTAACAGCCATCTAAAGAGTGGCCAGTGAAATTATCACTAGGCTGTAATGTAAAGACTGCATTTTCTCAGAAAATACAGTGTTTACAGTAAAAAGCCTGACGGTAATGATTCTACTCACCAGAACAAATTCAATAAGCTGTAGTTGTTCTGGTGACTCTAGTGTCCCTTTAACTATATTCATTGTCAGCCAGTCCACACAAGTTTTGTTCCCATACATCCCTCTTAAGTTTCCATTCTTAAGTAAGAGTATGTGAAAAGTAGTTAGGGTTGCCACCTTTCTTGGAAAAACATACCGGCCTTACTAATTTGCATAATTAAATATGTATGGGTGACATCGCATGAGTGACATAAGAGAAAATGCTGTAAAATCACCAAAAAACTACTTAGTTTGATTCTGCTGTATAGATGGATTCCTCCCAGTGGCCCCATGTCTCCCAGTGCCCCCATGTGTCGATTACTCCAGGTCTCAGTGTTCCTATGTATCAGTGTCTCAGTGCCCCATGACTCCCAGTGTCCCCTAGTGTCATGTCCCCAGGTCTCCCAGTGATCCTATGTATCACAGTGTCTCAATGCCCCATGTCTCCCTGTGTACCCATGTATCCCAGGGCCCCATGTCACTAGGAAGACGGGAAGACCTGGGGACACAGGGAGACCCAGGGACACGGAGACACCAGTGACATTGGGAGACTAGGGGACTCTGGCTGGGACGCATGGGGACACTGGGAAAATAGGGGACACTTGAAGACATGGGGACACAGACACCATGGACACAGACACTAGAGACACTTACTGGGGCACATGGGGACATTGAGACATGGGGGCACTGGGAGACATGGGGACAAGGAGACACCAGGGCCACAGACACTAGGGACACTAGCTTGGAGACATGGGGACATTGAGACACGTGAGGCACTGACATGGAGGCACTAGGAGACATGGGGACGGTGAGACACTGGCAGACTGGAGGCACTGGGGGACTAGGGGGCACTGAGACACCAGGGACACTGGCTGGGAGACATGGGGACACTGGGAGACATGGGGACACTGTGTCCCCATGTGTCTGTGTCATAATGTCCCCCAATGTCCCTTAGTGTCTCAGTGTCCCCATGTCTCCTAGCAGCCTATCCCCCCATCCCTTACTTCCCTGAGCTGTAGGCTGTCTCTGCAGGTTGGGAGTTGCTGTCTGGACTCTCTGTAGCTGCACCCCTGCAGATCAGTGAGTATAGATAGGCAGGGAAGGATATGCTGGAACTTCCTATCCCTAACTGTCTCCACACACAGTGACCCCTACTGGCCAGTGCTGGTATTGCATAGTAATCTCTTGTTTATACTGGGAAAAATACCAGCATTTGTATTGCCAGTATCACTGTAATATTGGCACCAGCCAGGCAGCCTCAAATACTGGTTGTGCCAATGAAATAAAAGCCAGGTGGAATCCCTAAGAGTAGTGTGTGAGAAAAAAACAATTTTTTTTTTTTTTAGGAATCAATGGGCCTATTCCATGGACCTGGGCCTGGGCCTGGAGCTGCAGCTCCATCAGCCCCTATGTTAATCCGACCCTGCGTGTACACGCTGCACTAGATTAGGATCAAGACTACCACGTGGAGGCCATGCAACCACTAAGGCAGGCCATTCCCTGCTACATAAAGTAGTCAAACGTGTTGGAGACATCTTTACCCCAAAATCACATACATTATATCACTTTTTAAAATTCTTTAACATGCAATCTAAGGGATCAATGATCTTTGAATCCAACGCACCCATACTTAACAATGGAGCGTCGTCTCCAATAGAAACAAAACAAAATACACTTCCAACAGTCACACCCATTTCCCCACGTGGCACAGTTACTAGGCCAAACGCACACAACAAATCATACAGGGAATTCCCGTACACACACAGCTGTTACACCACACACTAAATAACTATTACTGGACCTTTTTTGGCGAAATTATACAATTACCCACGCTATAATTCTCAGTGTTTAAATTACCCGTCTATAACACACCCTAGTAACATCGTCTTTACAAACAGTAGTTATAGTACGGTTAGCATTGGTTAGAATACAATTTTAAAGTCACAGGTCAGTTAATAGTAGTTATGGTGTTAAACATACAACATAAACGACAGTTATTAGTGATTATTTACAGTATCAGTTATTATAATACATGGTTATGGTACCGTGCGCTATGATACAGTTACACACTATTCACACTCTCGCTAGACGGCAGAGCTCACGCTACCCAGCAAGATATACACTCTACTATAATAAATTTTAACACATTTACAGTTTCCCAACTAATCTATTGGACAGTACCTCGAGGGACTACCTAAAACTATTTACATCCGTTTTGGTTAGCCGTCGCTGCCCAAGCACCACATATAGCGAACTAGAGGGCGGAATTTACAACAATACCCTTTTAGTCTATCTACTCTATCAATAGTCTAGTGGGTTCCAAATTTACACGCCTTCCCACTTAGCCAAGATAGGTTGAGAACTAGCAAACGATAATGTACACCAGAGTCTGCTTAGTCGCCCGGTCCCTCCGACCTAGCGAACGAAATGTACACCCTAGATACGCTAGTCTAGACAAGACACCGGTGGGGCTATATACATTCAACCAAGACCCAGCCTGACTCCATACCAAAATTAGACGGGCTGACTACAGGGCGTCTAATTATGAGCGGTGCGCCTTCGCTCCTTCCCTCCCTGGAGGGGGCCAATTCCATACACAATTCCAATTCAAACCCCTTATGGGCCTACCGCACAATCGGTATCCAATACCCCTAGTGGGTCCACCGTCTAAAACAGTAGTCGTCTTACCTCCTCGTTCCTGAACCTGAGTATGTCTGTGTGTGTTAGTATGTCTGTGTGTGTGTCAGTATATCTGTGTCAGTATGTCTGTGTGTGTGTTTCAGTGTGTATATATATCTGTGTGTGTGTATATGTGCATACATCTCAGCATTCACACACTAACACTACACACAAATACACCTTGGCATTCAAACTTTAACACTATGTACAAACACATGTCTGTGTTACACACCAAAATTATATGTAAATACACCCCTGCATTCAAAAACCAAAACTACACAAATACTATACATGCTTGCAATCACGCCAACACCACATACAAACATATTCCATACAAAAACCTGTTTACATTCAAACACACAAAAACTGCTTAGTGCTAAATACAGACCTGCTAACATGGGTAAATGGTAGAGCCCCAGCTGTCAATGCATTTCAGGAGTTACACAACAGATGGGGATCTACCTTTTAATCACCAGTGCAACAGGGAGGCCCCCAAAAATTCTTGCACCTCTCTACTTTAGGTCCGACACTGCATTGGGGTGGAGGACGTGATTGCACGCCTGGGGAGGGGGAACAGGGTCCAGGGGGCCCCAAGCAAATGCTTTGCCCAGGGTCCAGTCAATATTAAAGACGGCCCTTCTTCATACCACCAGGGGACTCCAGAAGCTATCACACTCATCGACGGGGACACCCCAGTACTTACTACGTAGAGGCCGATGATCTCCTGGACAACAGACCAGTGGCGCCGAGACGAAGGGAGGTCCACGCAGAAGTTCAGGGGTGCAGCCGTAGAGAACGTGGGCAAAGATAGACCGTCTCACGCCTCTGCTTCCTAGCCACCGTTAACGACGAGCTTCCCGGCCAATGCACCAAAGATGTTACCGGGAAACTGACGGAGGCCAAGCACAGAGAGATGGACACAGGTTTCTACAGGAAGGAAGAGATCTTTATTCGATTCACCGACCGGGACTCAGAGGGACTTATGTCACCAAAAACAGCAAAGATCTGAGTACTGAATACATAGAGTACATTCCTTATATAGCACTGTAGCTTCTCCCATAATTAGCTACGCCCACACATACTCTTAACCTAATCAATGAATAGAGTCTAAACTCATCCATCCGGTCTAACCACGTGGCTCATCTGAAACAAAGGAGAGGGACGCGTAATTCCAGTTCCTGCATTCCTGCACATGCTCAGTACAGTGATGATACTATCTTAGCTACGTGTAACTAACTAACTGATACTACAAACACATGTACCTACATATGCCTTGTGGCAATCTTGGCCTGCTAAACTTGTATTTTACTGGAATTCCATCACACTAGGAAATTAGCCATAAGGTATCAAGTTGCTGTGGTAGCTTCTGGAGTCCCCTGGTGGTATGAAGAAGGGATGAAAACAGGGCCGTCTTTAATATTGACTGGACCCTGGGCAAAGCATTTGCTTGGGGCCCCCTGGACCCTGTTCCCCCTCCCCAGGCGTGCAATCACGTCCTCCACCCCAATGCAGTGTCGGACCTAAAGTAGAGAGGTGCAAGAATTTTTGGGGGCCTCCCTGTTGCACTGGTGATTAAAAGGTAGATCCCCATCTGTTGTGTAACTCCTGTAATGCATTGACAGCTGGGGCTCTACCATTTACCCATGTTAGCAGGTCTGTATTTAGCACTAAGAAGTTTTTGTGTGTTTGAATGTAAACAGGTTTTTGTATGGAATATGTTTGTATGTGGTGTTGGCGTGATTGCAAGCATGTATAGTATTTGTGTAGTTTTGGTTTTTGAATGCAGGGGTGTATTTACATATAATTTTGGTGTGTAACACAGACATGTGTTTGTACATAGTGTTAAAGTTTGAATGCCAAGGTGTATTTGTGTGTAGTGTTAGTGTGTGAATGCTGAGATGTATGCACATATACACACACACAGATATATATACACACTGAAACACACACACAGACATACTGACACAGATATACTGACACACACACACACACACACAGACATAATAACACACACAGACATACTGACACACACAGACATGCTGACACACACACAGACATACTGACACACACATGCACAGATATACTGACACACACACACACAGACATACTGACACACACAGACATACTGACCCACAGATATACAGACAGACAGATATACTGACACCCACACATACTTACACACACACACAGATATACTGACACACACAGACATACTCACACACACAGACATACTGACACACACAGATATACTGACACACACACAGACATACGGACACACACACACACACACTGACACACACACTTACAGACATACTGACACACACACAAAGACATACACATACTGACACACACACAGACATACTGACACGCACACTGACAGACATACTGACACAGACATACACACACACACACACACACACACGCATACTGACACACAAACAAATGTACACTTTAAAACCCACCCTCCAGTTTCCTACCTTTCCTGCTAGTGGCTGAAGGTGTTGGGAGTTGGGGTCTGGCTCTCTCGGCCAGCCCCCCTCCACTCTGCCTACTCTTCTTTCCTGCGTGCTCCTAGCTCCCAGCCGGCTGCCAAATTGCAGGGGCCCACTTGCGCTGTTAAAGCACCTCAGTGCGCAACCGGGACCCTGCTGACAGAAGCCCACCGGGTGGCCCTTTGTGCATGGTGGGCCTCCTTAGAGTGCGGATTACCGGCTGGGGGATGAGAAATATTTGAGGCCAGCAGGTCTCAGGGTGCAGCTGCTTCGGGCCCCCCAGGAGTAACTATTGTTGTTAGGATAACATGAAATGTCTTAAAGGGATCCTACAGTGCCAGGAAAACAAAGCCGTTTTCCTGGCACTATAGGTTTAACCCCTTAAGGATGGTGGGCGTTCTATGCCATCCTTGAAGGGGTGGATCTATGGGCGATCGGTGTTCCTCCCAGTCTGGGGGGACTGTATGACAGCCCAGACAGTCCCACCTCTGCAAATTAGGCCCCATGGGCCATATGATCACTCTGAAAGAGCGGTCACATGGCCGCAATAGGCATCCAAAGTGATGCTTGCAGGGGGACTGCCTAAACTAACAGACAGTATCCCTGCTTCTGCTAAAATAAAAAAAATATGTTAATAAAATAAATAAAAATAAATATATATATATGTGTATATATATATATATATATATATATATATATAAGATACACACCCTGCTCCAAATTATTATGCAAATTCTATTTAAGTGTCACAAAGATTAAATATTTTGTTTTTCAGTTTAATTAATGGATGGCATTGTGTCTTAGGGCTCTTTTGATCACTGAAAACAATCTCGGACACCTGTGATAATTAGATTGCCAGGTGAGCCCAATTTAAGGAAAAAATACTAAAGGAGGGTGTTCCACATTATTAAGCAGAGCACCATTCTCATGCAATATGGGGAAGAAAAAGGATCTCTCTGCTGTCGAAAAGAGTGAAATAGTTCAATGCCTTGGACGAGGTTTGAAAACAGTAGATATTTCACGAAAACTTAAGCGTGATCATCGCACTAAGAGATTTGTGGCTGATTCAGAGCACAGATGGGTTTGTGCAGATAAAGGCACATTGAGGAAGATTTCTGCCAGATCCATGCATCGGATCAAGAGAGCAGCTGCTAAAATACCATTACAAAGCAGCAAACAGATATTTGAAGCTGCTGGTGCCTCTGGAGTCCCACGGACATCAAGGTGTAGAGTCCTCCAAAGTCTTGCAACTGTGCATAAACCTTCTATTCGGCCACCACTAACCAATGCTCACAAGCAGAAATGGCTGCATTGGGCAGAAAAATACATGAAGACTAATTTTCAAACAGTCCTGTTCATTGATGGGTGCCATGCAACCCTGTTCCAACAAGGCTGCAACGTCAGCAAGGCGGTGGAGGAGTCATGTTTTGGGCCAGAATCATGGGAAGAGAGCTGGTCGGCCCCTTTAGGGTCCCCGAAGGTGTAAAGATGACCTCTGCAAAGTATGTGGAGTTTCTGACTGACCACTTTCTTCCCTGGTAAAGAAGGAAGAACTATGCTTTCCGTAATAAAATCATCTTCATGCATGACAATGCACCATCTCATGCTGCAAAGAATACCTCTGCATCAATGGCTGCTATGGGGAAAAAAGGAGAGAAAGTCATGGTGTGGCCTCCATCCTCCCTTGACCTCAATCCTATTGAGAACCTTTGGAGCATCCTCAAGCAAAAGATCTATGAGGGTGGGAGGCAGTTTACATCCAAACAGCAGCTCTGGGAGGCTATTCTGACATCTTGCAAACAAATTCAAGCAGAAACTGTCCAAAAAACTCACAAGTTCAATGGATGCAAGACTTGTGAAGCTGCTATCAAATAAGGGGTCCTATGTTAAAATGTAACGTGATCTGTTAAAATGTTTAAAAAGTTAAAATGTTGTTATAAGTTTGATTGAAATAGCTTTTGATTTCAGTAAATATGCTGCAAACATAACAAATGACAATTTTCAGTTCTTTACAACCTATAAAGTGTTTTGAAACTTACTGTGCGTAATAATTTGGAACAGTGCATTGTAAGTTTTTTTATGTTTAAAAAAAATACTGTTATCATTAAGAGGTTTGTTCAATAAAATTTGAATTCTACTCTTAATAGTTGATAACATGAGAATTATGCTGACTGTTATTTACATCAATTATTTAGGTAAATGAGAAAAATATCATTTGCATAATAATCTGGAAAAGGGCATATATATATATATATATATATATATAAAAATAATAAGTAAATTAAA